CGAGGCTAGGGTGACGGCTCGACGATGTCCGAGAGATTTGTGATTTCATTTGGAACAAGAGGAGACTACGAGGACCTGCGACAGAATCACGAAGATCGATGTGTCGCGTCGTCTTCGATCTAGAACCTTTCGCTCTGGATCACGAGGTTATCTTCGGCAGATTGTGCTTGTAGGTCACTCCGCTGTCCCCCGGAACTGGAGCTGCCGAGGCGATTTTGCAGTCACTTCTCCCTTCGTTATGCAATCGTTCGCGTTCTACACGATAACGCGACCAACGCTTCGCAATCCCCTTTCTCACCCTAACTCAAAGATTCCACGGCTTCTCGCCTTCTAATTTATCAATATCGTTTGCATCACATCGAACAACATCGTCGGGACATCATAGCGACACGATTTGAAGTGAACTTGCCTTCGATTTGACGGTTCTCGAATTCGCTTATTTAAACGCGTACGTGAACAAGGAAAAGAATTATCAGCCGTTGTTTAAATCAATGGAATATTAAGTTGATAATTCTAGTTGTTAATGCTAGAGAGAGAGAGAGAGAGAGAGAAAACTACTGTTTCTGTTACAATATATAGTTGATCGAAAAAGCTTATCTAACAATTTTTCGCGGAAACATTTTTACAACATCAGGAATTGTTACCAAAAAATCGGAAACCAGTCATTTTAACTTGTTTGGTGATTCCAGTTGTTAAAAATGGAAACCCGTGTTTGTATAGTAACAACATATCGTCGCAATAGCGTCTTCAGAATTGTTTCGGATTTTTTCATCTGGCGCGACACAGTTAAAAAAAGGAAAGGAGTCAATTTTTATATTTTCGTTCTTCATCGTCGTAGAAATATTTTGTTTAAATACTTTTACAAAATACAATAAAGAATATCGATACACGCTGTTCAAGAAAATTATAGCATGGCAAAATTTCGGATAAAAATCGATCAAATTTCAGCGACGACAACTCCGCGAAAGATCATCGTAGGATAATGTCGTTTCCTTTAAATTGAAGCTTGAAACCTGTTCTTTAAGACGATTTTTCTGGATTTCAAATTCGACGCACCCTCGCCTCTGTAACCCTTTAAATGCGAAGCCATGTTTGTCACAATGAAAACTACCAAGTTCGACGAAATGCACGGACCTCGGTAAAATATTTTTCGAAAAAAGCCGAATGAAGCTCGATCCTCCTTCTTTGACTCGAAAAAAAAGAGAAACGTGGCTGCGACTTTTTGTCGCGAAGTTACGGCACTTTGAAGCGACCCTTGCATCTCTGGCACTGTAAACATCCTTCTGAACCAGTTAGCTATTTTCGACGAGTATACGTAAGTAGTCGAGTCGAGGCTCATCGTTCTCCAGCATATTCCCAGCTCGTTGCCGGTCGATCAGCGTCGCTTACAAAGGTGTAAACGCTTTTCACGCACGCGTCGCAGGTCCGCGGAACACCTGCGAAAGGTGCGAGCACAAAGAACGCGGAGGAACGCGCGTAACCCAGCCCGATTCTGATGACCGGACTGCGTTCCTCCGCGCGTTTCAAGGCCACCCGTGGCCGGACGACCCTTGACACTCTCGCCAACGACAGTTCCCACTCGGTAACACCATGACCGTTCTCTTTCACCGAGCGTCTTACCTTGGGGCCACCTCCGCCGACATCAGAAAGTCTCTCTCGTTTGCGGAATTGATACGCGTCGAGGTATCATTGGCGGCCCGTTCCCTCCAATTAGACAATCGAATCGGCGCGTTATTATTCCTCGCGGCGGCGAGAAACACGCAGCAATTCCCGTCGACGCTGCATGCCGATCGCGAGGTCGCAGCGACCGCGACGGCGAAATAGAATCCATTCGAGGGATCGATCAAGCCCGATGCAGCCTTCTATTGGAATTTTTTTTCGAATAGTCTGATTTACGGCGAGGAGCAAAAAAATGAGCGAGCACCTTTTAAAACGGTGTAAACATTTTTAACCCTTCGCACTCGAAGCCATTTTAACTCGAAATCTAAAATAGTTGACCTATGGTGACCTATGGTACTTCCATTTGCTGTAATTTGCTGCATTTTATGCATGCGACATTGAATTTTGTGACTCGAGCGACAATTATTTCGTTTCGCGCAGTTTTTTAGATATAAACAAATTCGATGATGTTAACAAGCATTTTCAAACGTGACGTAAGTCGCGTAAATCGCCACTCGATTACAAAGGGTTAAAACTGGACCAAACGAGTTGAATTTGTTCTAAATGATAGAGACACTAGTTTAGAGTACAATGATTAAAGTACTTTTCTCGTTTGATATTAACAGAAACTGTTACGTTTAAAGTTCGCGAAAATAAATGTTTTATCACGAATTTCGATGGATTGTCGACACATATGTAATACGTGTAATATATGTAATATGTAAATATGTGTATATATGTATATAATATGTAAATATATATGTATATGTAATATGTGTATAATATAAGCACCAAATGAATTTTTTAAATTTTCGGCTCGGATAAAAAAATGAAGGAACGATTTCATTTTCTGTTTAATCCGAAGCAACAGCAAGATTAAGGAAAATAATTGAACCATCGCACAATAATCTGCTGCTTCTGCAATTAAAAAGAAATTCGAGTAATTTCGTCCAGTTTGAAAAATGTTACCGCGTTAAAAACTAATTTTAAAGGGCGTGTGCTCGCTTCCGCTTCTTCGATCGTCGATCGCAAGTTCCGAGGATCTCTGCCGCGAAAATCGATGGAAGCCAAAAAAGCACGATTTGAAAAGAACCGTGACAAATGCACTGTACGTATTCCACGACACGCGTCGCCCGAGTATCCATTAATTCAGAGGATTAGGGCCCGAGACCACCCAAATCTGTACCTCGAAATTTGTAAATCCTGTTGCCGTGGACGGTCACGTTCGAGTCCTGTCGCTCGCGATACCGATCTCGTTCTCGCGACACGGTGGAACCGTTTCACCGATTTGCACGGGAACCCGGCTTGCAAAGCAGCGACCAAAGCGAAACTAAAATGATTCCGAGCGTCTCGTGAAAATCGCTCGCATGACCAAAGAGAGTATCCTCCCTTTCTCGCGCGAGCAGCGAGAAACTTCGAACGGCCATTTGCCGGCGGCCGAATATGTGTCACTTTGTAATATAAAATCGAGAAAGACCTCTTGACCAGTCCAACGAAACACTGCCGTTGCCTCTGCGATATTTCGCTCGGCTTTTATTGTAGTATGTACGCGAATAAATGAACCTAAGACGAGCCACGAGCTGGCCGGCTGCCAGCACCGACATCGTCAAATTTTGCAATCTTGCATCGTTGTTGCCGGAGCAGCGGCGTACACATTCGACAATTCATAATCCGAACGCTGCTTGAACGACAGTTGAAAAAATAGCTGTGCGAAATAATGATCGTCGCCGGAAAAATGAACGAACGATTCTTGTATGTGCACGAACGATCTCTATTCAGCGGCGTCGGGGAAAAGTGGTTTCCTCGTTGCACGCGCGGTGTTGTAAATAACTAATTAGAGTGTAATACAACGCAGAGAAACTGCAAGAACAACGTATCGCTGTTGCGTGCAACTTCGAAGTTGAATGAATAGTTGCGAGCCGACTTAAAATAGACGGCCAGATATTTGCCAGTTCGCTTGTAAACGAAGAACCAACCTCTTACGTTTCTTGATCTTTTCGGTACGCTCTGATCTCTATTCGAAGTGTCTGCTGCTTACGAAACAACATATCGAGACTCGTCGTGAATGCCATTTATTAAAGATCAGAAATGAATTTTCAACGATCCAGAGTCAAAAAAAAAAAACTGAAATCTGCGCCGCGTAAATGCGATCAACGTATCAAATGCCTGCAGATAATATCTATGTATATGTCGACGAAAAATGCGTTCGCAACACTGTGTGCCGTGTTTTAAGACCGTCGCATGGAAATCGGTGACGTGGTGCAGGTGTGTGTTCGGTGAACGTGTTACACATTTGATTTTATTGTTTCGTTATCAAACGCGATGCGCCGGCAACTTGTGGTACGCAATCCTTTGGCTTACATGTATACAAGTTACAGAATAATATATTTATATTATATATATATATTTATATCATAAATATATATATTAATATATATATATTAATATATATATTCATATTTATATCTATATTTATATTTATATTTAAATTTATATTTATATTTATATTTATATCTATATTTAAATTTATATTTATATCTATATACATATAGATACTTTTATATGGACTAATACCGTTTCTGTTCTGCACCTAGGTCTGAGATATGTAGAAGGCAGGTACAGGTGATACGTCGGTGAACACTAACGAGGTACGATATAACACACTAAAAACCGGATGTCTCCCTCGCGGCCCGGACACGGGAACCGGGCGCGACATCGACGTGTTCGAACGAAATTTAAAGAAAATCGTCCGATGGTAACGACGAATTCTCCGGTGGATCGTCGCACGAAGGAGGGCAGGTTCTTTTCCCGGGCAAGCTGCTCGGTATGTTATATCCTACTCTATCCGCATACTTCGGCTCGAGCAAGTTGACTGGAGACGGACGGACGAGTGTTCGACCGTCGTCATCCCTTACCGCATAGTTCCCCAACCTAGCCCGCTATCTTCTATCCCGAACAGACTGTTTCTACCACGGCAAAGTCCCGCGACCTTGCGGCGCTCGTCTAAAAACGAAACGAAAAACGGTTCGAACCGGCTCCTCGTTGGGAAACTATGCTCTACTGGGTTATGTGAATCTCGCGTGTCCTTGGGAATCTAGGAACCGCCGCGACCAGGTGAAAACGGGGGTCCTCACCGGGCGGTCGCGTCGGCCGGGTACAGAGAACCGGTGGAAACGGGGGGAAGAGGGTGGTACATCTCGTTGGCGGGTGTTGTATACCTAACGAAGCTCCCTTAAAGTACTTAGAAAACATCTGTTGCGAATAAGCTTACACGCTAAGGAGGAAAGGTCGCGCGCCTTGCAACCAGCCGCGCGGCCGATTGCAACGCGCGCGCAGGCGACTTTTACTTTTGATTTTCTTTCCCTTTATTTTTTTTCTTTTCTTTTTTGCATTTTGAGTCGGTTCACGCGCGATCTACACCCCGTCCTATCGCTCCTCCTCTGACACACGAGACATTTCGAGGCGACTGGGCAGCGTTTTGAAAAATCGCGGATCCGTCACCGACGGCCACGAAATCAGACCCGTCCCGGCTTTTATCCGGGAAGCCGAGGTCTTCGGCGACTTCCGTCGAAAGGCTTCCAGCGAGAGACAGATGTCTCGAGTGTCTCGGGTGCTGGCGCTCTCCGGCGACCTGGACTGCCCCCTCGAAAGACGGCGTCCACGATCGGAGCCGTTCGACGGAAGTTCTCGCGGTCCAGGAGAGTTCTTAATTTAGAAGACCTCGCGAGACCCGCCGGATAAATGTCTCCGTTAGGTGATCAGTCTGCCCAGCTCTGCCCTGAAATCTCTTCGGTGCGCGGGGTGTTGGACGACGGCTTGTTCAACCGCTTCGCGGCATCCCGTTGAGGAAGAGGCTGACGAAGAGGGAGCCGAGGATCGTCATCGTGGCGACGGTCATACCGGACGCTCCGTTCAGTTCCAGCTTGTTCTTCAGTTCGTCTGTCACGTCGAGGTACACTTTATTGACACCGATGTCTTTGACCAGCTCCGACAACTTCTTCGCGTCAACTTCGTCGTCCTTGCCGGACCAGACTGTCAACGTGCTGTTGGTATCCTTCAAAAGATTCTTCATCTGGTTGTGGCTCACCGAGGCTGCGGATGCTCGCACCGCGTAAGTGATCATCGACTGGTTTAGTTGGCTGTCCTTCACTACCTTCAACATCCCTTCGACATCCTCGTTGGTGTAGTTCGCGTCCTTCTTCCCGTCACTGCAAACAGTTCTCGAATCAATCCCGGCTACGTTTGCGCACCAAAGCGACTCTGAATAGACGGAAAATCGGCAATCGGTCTCCTAGTCGCGGCATCTTGGCCAGAGTTGGCCGATGATTTCATCAACGATCGACGACTCTATTTCTAATTCGATCGACGCTTTACTCGTTAATCGCGGTTAACGATGAAATCCGTAGTTCGGTCGTTGATCGCAATTAAGGAGACTCGTGTGAAGGGTTCGAACGAGAGCTGATGTTTGGAAATTTTTTAATAACGTAAAACCTTGATGGAATTGATCATCACCTGGCATATACAGAGTGTTCCATAATTATGTTGACATTCACCCGTAAATGGGTGATTCCTGAGGTCATTTGAAGCAACTTCTTCCTTAGCGAAAATGCAATCCGCGGCTTCGTTTACGAGTTATTAACGGAAAACACTGATCAATGAGCGATCGAGTACGGCCGACGCTCCACCCTTGCGACCACTGCTGCTGCGCCAGATAGCCGGCGCGACGCGGCATTGACCGCAAGGGCGGAGCACCGGCCGCACTCGCTCTCCGATTGGACAGTGTTTTTCTTTAATAACTCGTGAACGAAGCCGCGGACTGCATTTTCGCTAAGGAAAAAGTTGCTCCGAATGATCTCAGGAATCGTCCCTTTTCGAGTGTTAACATAATTATGGAACACTCTATATACGTCGACCGTAAGGTCCATGAGGAATAACATGTATTATCTCATTAAAAGTAGATAAAATGTAACGAGAAGAAAACATTTTGTATCGTAAAATGTTAATGAATATATGTGTCAGTTGGCAATAAATTTCATCAACATCTTATGTTATGAAAAACTTGCCGAGTATCACCTCTCGTTTGAACGTTTCACACGAGTCTCCTCCCTTAACGATTGAATCTTCTGCTCGTTAATTACGATTAACGATACCATTTAATTGTAACCGCTGATCGAATAATTAATTAACGATTAACTTTGTATATTCGGCTAATTGATTAATACTACATATTTTCAATACATTCAAAAAATTCATCGTGGAAAAATCGGCGATTCGTTTCATCGGTCGATCAAATCTAACGCTGATTTTTCGACGAACGTGCTTCAATCAAAGTTTCACGATTAAATTCGTCAACTAATTAAATTGACCACCGACTTTACAATGACACAACCCCGTTTTAATCGTAGACGCTAACTGATCGATCGAACTAAGAATTTCAATCGATCGGAAATAGAGGGTTTACAGAAATTTTAAGATATCTTGATTGCAACTTGTTGAAATGATTGGAGACAGATTGACTTTTCTATCCATTAACAGAATCGTTACGATAGCACAGTAATTTCTCCCTGATTCGCGCTCAGATTGCACACAAAAATGGACAATTTCGGAAGAGAAGATTACGATCATTCGAGCATTGCGGCTCGTTTTTACAGTTATCGACGATCGGTAACTATAAGATCGTATCTCCTCTTCCCAAATTGTCCATTTTTCTGTACAATCTGAGCGTCAATTAGGGAGAATTTACTGTAATCGGTAGATGAAAAACGACAAGGATATTACAAAGATTTTAATGAATGCAAAATAATCGAATCGACGAAACTGCGACTGGAAAGTTGAAATTGATCATAGTCAATGGTATATCAACTCTTTCGCGCACGGCAGAACGGAGTCGATTTCAGTTTGTCCGGTTTTATGTTGCACTATAAATACGAATTTCAGAAATTTTTCGGAAATCACTGCCGCACAATTTTCCAGCTTCAGTTTCCTCGTCCAAACTGCTGCGAAGTCGCGATCTTCTTTTCTTTTACGGCTAAAACAAATAGACCGCGGATACGATGCACTTACGACGAAGACGAATTCGATCGAATGCATAACAGCGTGAAAACGCTTATAAAATGTCGAAATACTATTCCGTTATTTTCAACTCGATGAAATAATTAAAGGAGGAAAGGAACGTCTGCGTAGCTTCTGCGTCTTCCAAAAGCATGCAGACCATTTTCATTTCCTTTGAAAATAATCCGCGGTCTATGAATAAACAATAAATGACTGTAGATGCGTTAAAGGGGTAGAAAACGATGATCATACGTAGTGGTCCAGCCCAGGGACACGATAACGTTTTTATACACCTTGACGGTGTTCAGGAAGGTGTCTTTGCTGACTGCGGGTTCTTGATTGGCCGCGGACCCTTTGAGAATGTCCGCGTTGAGGAACACCGGGAATGGCGCCTGAAATCGAACAGTAGGATCAATCAGCAGGCGAGGCGGGTAATCGCGAGCCGCAGCGAAAAAGATTCAAGCACGGAAGAATAAGAATTCACTGTGCGCGGCGCGCCGCGGAGCATCGGTAATCGGCGCATAAATACACCGGCCGATTCCTAGAATATCGTTTTTATCGGGGAACGCTCGGCGAAGCATTCCGCTGGTCGGCAAAAGATCGAGCAGCTTAAAAATAAACGGCGCGTGTACGTACGTTGTTCAGTTTGGCCAGTATGTCCATGCTCTTTGTGACAGCATCCGTTTCCTTGAAGTCCAACTTCACACCCTTATTGATGCCTGACGTCTGATTCACTTTATCCACGAAGTCCTGCAGGGTCAGATCGCTAGTCTTACCATCGTGGGACATTATCGGGACCTCGTCAGCCATGTTCGAATTCGTCTTCTTGCCCATCTTCACGTCGGCCTCCAGCATCAGCTCCGTTTCTTTAAAGAGAAGTACAGAAGTTTTTATAGAAAATATTTTTTAAATATTTATTTTTAATTTAAATTATATATATATTATATTATATTATTATATTATATTATATTATATTATATTATATTATATTATATTATATTATATTATATTATATTATATTATATTATATTATATTATTATATTATATATTATATTATATTATATTATTATATTATATTATATTACAATTATATATTATATATATATATATATATATATATATATATATATATATATATTATATTACAATTATTATTAATTATATATTATTATATTATTATATTATATTTAAATTATTTAAATTTTATTTATAGCTTCTTAAATATTTTCTATAAGTTTCAGTATTTCTAATAATGCGATGTTGTGTGCGTCTGTCTGTCCGTTTGTGCGCTGGGCGGCGGAGTCAGGAGAGTGGGGGAGAGGAGAGACGACGAAAAGCCAGGAAGGAAAAGCGAGAAAGTCGAACGCGAACGACTTTGTCGCGCTGCACGCACGTGCAACGTGAATATCGATCAGGCCTAAAGACGCTAGAAACCAGCCACGGATTCTACTTTCCCGGTCGCCTCTGTCTCCAATACACACGTCGTTTTACAGGCTGTCCCAAAAAAAACCTCTTCCTGAGATTATTCGAAGTAACTTTTTCCTTAGCGAGAACGCGATCCGCTGCTTTGTTTACGAGTTATTAAGGAAAAGCAGCGACCAATGAGAGACGGGCTCTCCCGGCGCGAGGCGGCCCAGCCAACGAGCGCACGAAAGCCCAGTTCCGCTCGTTGGCATCAGCTGATCCGCGTCAGCCGATCTCGTCTCTCATTGGTCACTGTTTTTCGTCGATAACTCGTAAACGAAGCCGCGGATCGCATTTTCGCTAAGGAAAAAGTTACTTCAAATCGCCTCAGGAATTCCCCATTTCCAGATTGCGAGACATTTTTGGGACACCCTGTAGAATCAAGAAGATTCCTCCGATACCGTGTTTTCGGTATGCGACACGAAAGTTTCAGTCTTGTCAAGGTCTCCGGGAAAGCCTGCCGACGGTGACGACGCCGAAACTTATCGAGCATTAAAAGATTGAATTTATATAAGCTTTCCGACATTTCTGCAGAAACGCGTGCTAGAACGAAGATTCGATCTTCTGGTATGAAAGGATCCTCATAATTTTATAACGATGCATGTGCAACTGGTTGTTAATCCATTAACTGCCACGATCCCCATTTGGAGATTTTGGAATTTTACGTACACCAATTGGCGCGAAGAATTTGTCAGGTGCGTTTGACAGTTCAATGTCATTTTATACATATCGATCAATATTGTTTAGAGCAGATGGTGTGCATTTTGTGATTCGTATCTTTACAACAAACTTGAAAATCATCAGTAAGTTGAACACAACAAAATTATCATGTTTGAAGCATGAGACATTTTTGGTTTGGTCTTTATATTATAATTAAATACCATACGTAAATATGTAATTTAGAGGTATTAGCAGCCATGTGTTACTTACTCAGTCTTTCGTTTTTCATGCGTTTTACATTTCGATTTTATAAAAGCGGATGCATTACGGGAATTTTCCCGACGGCAACTTTCAGATCTATTAAAATGAAATTTGTCGCAAATATTATAGCTATCTTTGTGCACTATGCACCTGAATTTCTGTGTGACGATAGACGAGAATAAAAAAATTGTGCATATCCTGTTCAATGAATATAAATTTAACACTAAATCTATCATTAAAAGCGACAAATACGTGTTGCTCCGTAAGAATAACAGGCACCGGATTTATTTGGACTCATCACAATTTTTTGTATACTAACACTAGATTTACGGAAGTTTTTTAATTTACGATTATTCATATCGCGTAAAGATACATTTATGAGTTATTTATTCAATTTATATGTTACTTACAATAATACTTGTCAGAAATCAGAATAAATGTCTTATTGTTACTTTTATAAACTAATACGAAACAGCTGTTTTTTGTACTCCGTACATCTAGTGTTAAGAAACGCGTTATTCGCTCATTTCCTATGAAAGAGATCTTTATAATTTCAGCAAATGTCAAATGCGAAACCGTGGAACCGGTCATTTTGACTGGCTTGGTAGAATCAGCGTTAATTGTGACCGAAAACAAACCAATGGCACAGCAATTGGTCGTCCCGCAGTATAACCGGCTCCACCACCCTGATTAATATATTTCTGATTTCGAAACGTGGAAAGGCTTCGTCGGGCAATGTGTACAAAAATGTCGCGCGAACCCGATTATTTCGATCGATACATTTTCGTACAAGAATTTCTCGAATTCGATTTTTCCGCGACGCGGCTGTGTTTCTAGCCGGCTGTCCGACCGTTCCCGGCGGTTTCCTCGATCGATCGCACGATCCTCGGATCAAGGTCGCGCGTGTACGATGACTGACCTTCCACTAGGTATCCTCCTGCTGCCCTCTCGAGCCCTCATTGCGGATTCCGAGGGCACAGCCAGTCTCTTTCCCGAAGATCTTTCGCGGACGTGAGCAACAAGCCTCGTTTCCCTGAATATTAATCAGCCGCGGGCACACGGCGCATCCGGTATCTCGACGACGCGTGTCCCAAATAGAATTTCGCGGACGGCCTTCGACCGGCAGCCGTTCGTCCCCGTGAAACATTTGCGGACGATAATTAGCGACGTTACCGCCGTTTGTCCACGGCAAACACCATTTCCCGCTCGCCGGCCCCCGGCTTGTTGCACGCGTTCGCTCGCGACGGCATAGTAACGCGAAAACTTGGCAACGATTTCTGGCACACCACGATGGAACTATACTCCTCGTTACGACGGGAGTTCGTTAACACCGGATCCGCGTCGCTTCCACCGTGGACGCTCTTTCGTTCGACGTGTTAATTAACCATTCATCGCGGTTTCCGATCATCCGACTTGTATTTTGTCGCGACGCGACAGCAGATACGATGATTTCACCCCGATTCGCGCCCAGATTGCGCACAGAAATGGACGATTTTGGAAGAGGAGATACGATTATAGTAAATTCTCCCTAATTCGCGCTTAGATTGTGCACAGAAATGGACAATTTGGGAAGAAGAGATACGATTATAGTAAATTCTCCCTAATTCGCGCTTAGATTGTGCACAGAAATGGACAATTTGGGAAGAAGAGATACGATTATAGTAAATTCGCTCTAATTCGCGCTTGGACTGTGCACAAAAATGGACAATTTGGGAAGAAGAGATACGATTATAGTAAATTCTCCCTCATTCGCGCTCAGATTGTGCACAGAAATGAATAATTTGGGAAGAGGAGATACGATTATAGTAAATTCTCCCTAATTCGCGCTTAGTTTGTGCACAGAAATGGACAATTTTGGAAGAGGAGATACGATTACAGTAAATTCTCCTTAATTCGCGCTTAGATTGTGCACAGAAATGGACAATTTTGGAAGAGGAGATACGATTGCTGTAAATTCTCCGTAATTCGCGTTTAGACTATGCACAAAAATGGACAATTTGGGAAGAAGAGATACGATTAGAGTAAATTCTCCCTAATTCGCGCTCAGATTGT